CCAGAACGTTTACTGCTCTGCTCTCTAACCTTCAAAGTGTTATATTCTTTTGATGATCCTACTATCTTAACTGCTGATTAGTGAGGGTATCCTCATCACTGATCAGTGGCCAACTGATAGTATAAGCTTTACCAATCCCCACTGATCTTTTATTGTCTATAGAAAATTTACTTTTGAGGTAGTGTTACTCACTGCCGTTCTGATTAACTGTGAACATTTACATTCAATATCTTACTGATCAGTTTCCTCTATGGATATGAGAGAATTATCCCAACCACTATCCAGAAAAATCAAAGTCTCTAAGCTTTCACTTTGGTAAAATAGTGTAACCGGGATAATATCACGATAAATTTATGTGGTGTTTGTATAAACTAATGATTCCTTTGCACTTGATGACTACTGGATTTCGAATTCCAAATACAATACATTCATTCGTGCTCATTTAATACTTCTTAGATAATTTATGTTATTTCTAGGATTCTCAGCTTGAACTCTTAATTGTCACAATTTATAATAAATTCCATTCTTCAAACAAATCCCCTGGACAATTTTTATTCACAATGGTATGAAGAAACGAATAATATTTAACTTTGCAGTCTTCAATATCGTATTCTAATCTCGAGCTGCATGTTCACGTTATGTGATGATCTCCAACAAGTATATAACAAAATTCACGTCTTTTTAACTCCATGCCCCTTTTAGAAAGCACAGTCTCTGGCAATTTTGTGCTATTTGATACCGCCATAACCAGCTTTACGAAAGGCATAGGTTACAAACTTGATTTTCGGATAACCAAGCTGAAACTAGTACTACTGGCAAAGCGATTTTCATGATTGTTTCTATCATTCGTTACGTTATGATTTTCCATTATTGCATATTAATTTCTAGCTAATCTGACTGTCTTCAATAATGAGAGTCAACTCTTTAAATTCCGGTCCCCTATCAGCAATCATAATTTTGTGAGGTTCCCTCCTCACCTCTCCTATAAGTTCAAAGGTATATGTGATAATATCGAATGCGAATTAGCTTAAGAATTCAAATCAGGCACATAAATTGTCCGTATCAGCGCTTTACTTGAGGGGCTCGATCGTACAGCTAGTCAGGTTGTTGACTCAACATAAAATAGGTTTGCATTCGAGTAAGTTTGATATAGACACACGATCTATTAGATTCTCTTCCACAAACAAATCAAACAAAATTTGCTTTGCTTTTCCATAACCTAAATTACAGGGTGGAGAGACACATGCTTCATGAGTTGTTCTGTAACAATCGCAATTTAAAGTTATCCGTAAAATTGACATGAAATTCTCTTGAACGAGGTAAATGCTGGTAGATCTACTTTAAAATTGAGAGCATTATCGTGAGCCCAGCTCTAGACTTAAATGAGACCATAGAAATGGACCCCACTAGGGAAGCAGATAAGCATATGGATGTAGGCATTTTCACAAGGAAAAGGAAGAAGCGCATTGAGATGAAGAAACTACCTATGGACAGCAGTGAGGTATATGAATATGCGGGCTTAGTTCTGGATTCACATATCAATGCAATAAAAACTTTAGGGGAGCCAAATCTGAGCACTGTAGAGAATGTGATCAAGAAACAAAATAAGGGAAATGAGTGGCTCACAGCCACTCCGAGGAATCGAAAAGTAAGAAAATGGAATGTAAATTTTGCGTTTGACGCTGAATTGAAATCGGATTACAGGGTAGAGACGAATTCAGGAACTAAAATTCCACAACTTGTCAAGACGGACCTCACTGGGAGGTCAGTCACTTTTCATAAGTTATGAGAATCTTCCGATAAGGAGCCAAAGGCTAGATTTGAGCATGACCTCAGTCATGTTAAGCCCTTAATAAGAAAGCTACTCCTAGAAACAGTTTCAAGGGTTAGCATCTATAAGCTTTATGGAATAGGAAAAAAGGTGGACTCTGAAAGTCCTCAGAAAAGCCGCCTCTCGAAGGTTACATTTGCCACAGTTAAAGAAAGGAACCTAATTCTAGGTAACACTTAAAGCGATTGGATCCGGAATATACGCCCGTGAGGATCTCACACTAGTTGATCGTATTAAGAGACAAACTGCAGGAGTGCATACAAATAAGCGCTGCCGAAACGGTGAAAGGAACATCGTGCATAAAGGTTCTCAAATTGCAAAATTTCAAAGCAAAACGATCCACAAACTACTTTGCGTGATAAGGGACAGATCTCCACAGAATTAAAGGTGTGCCACACAAATGCTCACAGCCTACTAAGTAAAATGGCGAGGCTCAAGACGATGGTGGATAAAGAAAATTTGGATATTACCGCTGTCTCGGAAACATAGTTAACGTCAGAAGTGTTCGTTAATGAAATTCGGTTGACTGGTTTTGTATCGCGTAGGACTGATAACGTAAACCGTAGGGAGGTGGAGTTGTCCTGTACACGAAAAGTACCTTAACCACACGAGAAGTTGAGACAGTGTTACATGATTCTGGGACATGTGAACTGGTGCGTTACGAGCTGAAATGTAGATGGCATGATATCGAATTAGTCGTGATATATAGCATTTCAGAATGTGTAGTAGATGACTTTCTCCTAAAGAAACTTTAGTCTTGGTGTATTAGGAGTAAAAGCCTTATAGTAAGCGACTTTAATTCACTGTATATAAGCTGGGTGAATTTAGAAGTAGGGTCATTGACACCATCATTCGATCTCAAACTGTCAGAAACCTGGATTGCATTAGCTTTATTCCAACACACTAGGGATTCCACAAGATATGACTTAAGAATCCCCTCCTCTCTTTTGTATTTAGTCTTCACACACGGTGTTGACTTCGGTCAAAAGACCCTCCCCTCATCACTAGGGGGAAGCAATCATGCAGTTATATTATTTAAATTCATGGCTCAGATTACCTACCAAACAGTTGCGCAGGCCCGCCCTAATATATGGAAGGCAGATATGGGGTCAATCAACTCCGCAACATCAGCTGAAAACTGGCAAATTGACTCGAGGACGTCAGTACAAGAAGCACGGACTAATTTCAGGCAGTTACACATTGGGGTAACTCAACCATACATTATCTGGACACTCCCTAACAATAAGAAGCACGACCATCCCTGGGTAGGCCGGGGTATTCGACGTTCACTAAGGCAAAAGAAGAATGTTGCTATCAGCCTTGGCACAGCAGGTACGACGGAACGCTACATGTCTGTAAGAAACACGTGCATAATTAAAATTCGGGAAGCCCAGAGAAAATATGAAATGCATTTGACACAATCCACACTCAGACAGCCCAAGAGAATATTCTCGTACATAAATTACAGAACAAGAGTGCGTCATTGGATACCCAACCTACTTGAGGAAGGGCATGAATCTGAAATGATAGAGGAAGATCACGAAAAATAAGGGGCTATGGCTAACTACCTTGGGGCAGTTTTCACTCGTGGCCTAGACAATTAACCAAACCCAAATAAAGAGTCAACAAACCATCTGCTCACCGTGAACTTTGATCAAGGAGACGAGGTACTTAAGGCTCTCAGCACCTTAGACATTTAAAAGTCAATAAGACTAGATGAACCACACCCCAGAATCTTGAGACCCATTGCACAATATATCACGGCCCCATTGACTGTGATATTCAATATATCACTTGACCAGGGTATGTTACCTATATAATGGGAAGACGAAACCGTCCCTCACATAAAACAGGACCAGGACAAATTCCATGGAACTACAGACCTGCAAGCCTCACCAGTGTTGTCGTTAAAATATTGAAAAGAATAGTCAAATAGACTATAATGACATTTATGGTAACCAATAACCTGGTAAACAGAGAACAAATTGGTTTTAGGAGTGGTTTATCTTGTACAACAAATCTCCTTATAGGAAGGGATTATTGGATAAAAGCGCTAGACAACGGAAACTCAGTGGATGTTGTCTACATAGACTTCAGTAAGGATTTTGACAAGGTGCCAACTAGAAGACTGCTATTGAAGTTAGAAAATCTTGGTATTGCTGGAAATCTTTTAAAATGACTTAAGGATTTCCTAGTAAGTCGTGGACGGAAAGTAAAAATAAATTCGAAGTGTTCCACCTGGAAACCAGTACCTAGTGGAGTACCTCAAGATTTTGTCCTAGGTCCTTTACTCTTAATACTGTATATAAATGATCTCCCAAGTATAGTACGGTCCCCAATGTTATTATACGCTGACGATGTCAAATCTGGCGAGACGCGGGCAGACTTAAATAATGTGATTAACTAGTCTAACGAGTGGCTGATGAATATCAATGCAAGAAGATGTATCTACATACATTTTGGGTATACAAAGGCTAATAGGTACAGCATAGGAAGTGCCATTACCGGTGGTCCGGTCTCATAAAGATCTTGAGGTGACAGTGAGTCATAATCTTAAGACGACGGCCCATTGCCGGGAAGTCGCAGCTAACTGGTTTAGAGCACTCTGGGCTTTAAAACGGACATTCATCAAGCTAGATTCTACCATGTTCACTACAGTATACACAACCTTAGTGAGAACTAAGATAGAGAACTGCGCTCAAGCTGCAAGCCCCTGTTTAACAGGTGACACGGATGTCCTGTAAATGTGCAAAGGGCAGCCACCCGTGCAGTTTCAGAACTCCTAAATTTACCATACAAAGAGCGGCTTGAAAAGCTGGACCGCTTTACTCTGTCTTATTGCAGACTAAAGGGGGATCTAATCTTGATGTATAGAATGCTAAGAAATCATTTCGGGCCTAACATATTCTCCCTTTTTCTTCCCACTAGATCAGGACATCTCGTAGAACATAGCGGGCGGGTAAAAAAGCTAAAAACGAACAAAGCATACAGGTATCACAATGAGTATTAAAAACTTGAAACCTGTTACTTGAAGCAGTGGTGTCCGAACCTACAGTTGACTCTTTCAAGAGAAGACTATGCACTCACGTGAACATAATGGAACAAAACAACATAGGTTATAGGCCTTCTGTCCTTGCTACACAAATCTGAATCCTTTTGTTGTTTAGACACACTACTAATGAAGGCTGAGTAAATTCCTCCTAGTTTGAATGTAGTTCGCGTAACACGTTTAAAGTTGTCGACTTCAACGGTAAATGCATAGTATAACGACAGTCTTGAGTTAACCGATCGAAATTCATATAATACCTCAATTACTTTGCTGAAAATTTAATCTTTAGTGATGGGTAACATATATGTCATTAATAGCCAATGAATACTGGTAATATTTACATATTACCAGTTGGTTATTAGAATGTTTATAATCACTGAGACTATCTATTATACAGTGATAAAGTGAATTCTAGGTGGTGCATTGGCTAAATTAAATGATATATTGCTTCTAAATCAGACTTTCAGCAAACCTAATCTAATTCACCGTCTAATCTCAAGCATTTAGTAATGCTAGGTAGTGTTCTCCCTTTCTCTATTATGCTCCAAAATCTCACAAGTTTGCAAACAGGAAGGTGGTACTGTATGGCGTTATGTCTGACGTCAGTTCTTGTTGAAAACCGATACGAATCCGTTAACCCAATTCAGAACTCCAGTTTAACTCTTACTACCTAACCACTCTCTTCATAACTGATGTCGGTTGGTGATGAAAAATCTGTAGGGTAATAACCCAAACTCTCGATAATAGCTCAACTTCTAGTGTGTACGTATAAATTTAGACTTAGTCTCTTTTCTTTACCCGAAGGGATAATATGACTTGTGAGGGTTAATTATTACTATCAAAGCTGTCATTCCACTAATATTTCATTACTTTGCTTTGCTTATTGTTTTGCAACTGCTCAGTGTCTCCTGATTAGATGATAAGTTGTTCAAGGTCGTCATCGTAATTTAATTTCACTACATCAGCTCGTCTCGATTAATAGATTGTCGCACTCGTGTTATTTCTGATTGTTGTTAAATGATTTTATTATTAAATGCAAATGAATTCTGTGTGCCCAGTGAGTCGTCGGCCCGTTTTTTTATCATGTTTTCTGCTCTAGTTTATCTCACTTACTACTCCTAACACTCTCCCAAACACAAGATACCTTCAGGCTATACGCAAACCTACTAAAGACTGAACGTTATATTGCATGTAGTATGGTGGTGTGGCGACTCTTGGTGTTTGTATAATTCGAAAAATAACTAACTGACCATTTAATGCGGAGTATTACAATAAGCGTCAAAGGTTCAAACTGTGTCACTGAACCTCTCAAAGATGTTTTAACATCAAAAGTTTTGCAAATGAATCTATTCTAAAACTTTCTCCACTCCCACTTTTAATTACGAAATTGTCTCAAATTGACGATTGTACAGATTCCCATGTGTATACTTTCAGCAATCCTTCACCATCAACGTTTATATGGCTTAGATACAGGACTATCATAAACTGGACTTTAAATTTGTGTTTATAGGTGAGATTTGATGTGTTCTATGTTATGATTATGTGCACATCCTTTTATAGAGATTATACAATACACTTTGGGTGCATATAAGCTCTCGGATAGTATTTTCTCTCTAGATCAGATTGGGTGACTTTAAAAGCATATTGTGTTACGCATACACATGTTTATATTTTCCAGTTGCTTTCGTTAATATATAGATTGTTGACTGACACTTTCATGTTTTCTCTCAGATTCTCGCTCTAAAACTGCGAAATGCTCCCATGTTAAACCCGAACCTGCTAGCAACTGAACCTCGCTTAAATGTCATTCACAACTGAACGCTTACGTCAGTCCGTTCTCAGAGAGTTCGGAAGGGTCTTCTCTCTGGTAAAGTAACTTTCAACTCATGATGATTAGATTGTAGTTGCCAGGGCAGAAGATTCTTCTTGTGGATGCGCAGCTGTTAAAAGCAATCGACCGTGTGGCCAGCATGTCCATTTTAAGACAGTTGTCGGTCACAAAGGTGTTCAAAATTGCCGAAAGTCCTCCGAAGGCGGACTATGAGAGGTAAGTTAGTTTTCTTCAAGGTGTATTTATTTTGTTGGATAACATAGCTTTCCTGTAGTATTTTGAACCAGCTGTATTACCACGATTGTTTAAGCAAGCAAATGGCGTATAAAATTGAGCTGATACATATTTATGGCATGCCCTGAGTTGTACATTATTGACTGATTTAAGATATGACTAAAAACGAAAGGCTCTCATTTCCGATGCTGAAGAAGAGGATCTCGATACACTTAAGTCCTTGTCGATCGGATTTGTGACTAGATAATTTATCTTGAATGCTAGCAAGTTTAGCAGTAAGCTTTCTCCAATGACTCACCATAACCTCTTGTCCTCATCTACATTTTTATTCCCAGGAAAATCGTCAACCAAATTTGATGATAAATTCCATCGTATTAAACTGCCAACTCAGTCAGTCAGTCAGTAACAACGTAGACCTTCGTACGTACGTACATCAGTTCGAGTTGCCACACCACCTTAACACAGAGATGCAGTTGTCGATCCAAATCCCGTAGTGGTAGAGGTAGCAAGAGTGTAAGCAGTGATCGGGAAGATTAGGGTTTGGAGATGTTATTTAAAGAGTATAATTCAGTGAAATAAATTTGGAAAGAGAAAAAAGAAAGGGATATGAAGAATTCAGAAGATTAGAATTTGGGAGTGGATGCACCTGCGCCATTGCAAACGATTTTGAGCCATGTCATTCAGGGTCTCTAACCATCGGTTGCTATCATCTCGCGGTCCCCAACCAGGTAGTCTACACCTACCAACATGACTCAGACCACTTGTCAATGACTTCATGGACTTGCGCTATGTTTTGGTCTGGCCGCCCCTAGCTTTCTTCCAACCTACTCCTATACCACTGAACATCGCACGTCGAGGTAGTCGGTCGTTGGGCATACGTAACACGTGTCCCAGCCATCTCAACTGATGAAGTTTCACTACTTCATCAATTGACTTGCCATCCTTTGATGGAGTTGTAGCTACGCATCAACCTCTGACTAATTTTGAACATAACACTACTTCGGCTCACTCTGGGGACCAATGTGCTCCTGAAGTTCGTCCAGTCAATTGAATATTCTATCTTGGTGTTAAAACTTCAAAGTTTACTCGTAGTCTAATTACTTATCACAACAAGCCAGCTTAGGTGAAGACAAAGACTCTCTTTCACATCGTCCTGTCCATGAACTACGTACCAAATTACCACCTCAGTACCAAGTTTATTTCCATCAGTCATAATGATTGTTCTATGCGTTTGCAGATTAACACAGCTCTCAACATCAAATCTTGGTAATTCACAGGTGCATAGAATATCTCAGGTACTTATCTTCGTGTACTTAAGGCATCTTAGGGACTGAAATTTAAAGGAGTTCTATATGCTTTTGTCTTACAGTTTCACTAATATGAAATTTTTTATCCTATTTAGGATTGCTTATATGGTCCCACCAGAGTTTAGCTCATGCTTATCGGTAATTAAACATTGTGAAGTGGATCAATCGAAAAATATCAAACGAACGAGATTGATAATATTTGTCCCCAAAGAGGTATCTACCGTTTTTGTGGTTAATTGCTTAGAGCATTGATATATTACACACTTTTCTGCTTAACGTTGATTTTCTAAGGACTATTCTCTCAAGTATTTGTTAGTGTGATTTCTGGGTGAAGTACGAGAGCACTCGTCATGTACTTGGCAATTTATGTGAAAGTACAACACATTCGCTTCGCATCCCTTTTAATTTACTATCTAGAAAGGTTATTTAAACAAGCAACAAACTTTTTAGGTGAAGAATATAGGGAAAGCCTAATCATCATCCATATCCCGAAAATTTGTTATTTTAGGCTAAAGAAATAGATTTCCGCTACACCACAATGTCTTACTTTCATACTACGATCGACAAACATAACTGTAGATATAATCGTTAATTTTATATAATTAGGCTTCAGTTTCATGCACTTCATCATGATTGATAGCTGATTGTCAATTTAAGTCTGCCTATCTATTAAACTGGTTGTTTCATATTTGACAGTCACGTAGATGTCTATTACTGGATGAAAGTTTTAACTAAGTTAGCAAAACTTAACAGTGGATAAAAGTTTCAGCTTTCAGCCACAAAGTCGCAAGTTTGAACCCTACTCCACCTACTTCGGTTTGGGCAACTGAGTAGTATCATTACACTTCATATTTCGTGTGGCTGATACCCAAATACCTTAAGAATGAGTTATGAACCATATTATTTATTCCTCGTGTAAGGAATTATCGGGGTGAAAATCATACCCCTAAGAGTTGAACGAAACGTTAAACTGAGATGGAATAAAATTAGCTGTACCATGGTAACTAATAATTAGTGAGTAAACCTGAACTTCTTATTCCATTTTATCTATCTTATCATCTGAGTAACAGCAATTAAATTTAACGCTTTTAATCAGTTGTCTTATTTGAATATGTTAAACAATTAACTGGAACAATGATAATAACACAAACATTCATTTACAAATACATTCTTCCTCTTTAATTCGTTCCTTTATTTTGTTTATTTATCTTCATTTTATACATGCTATGACATATTTGATTCATATCATATATAAAACTTGTATATTTTCACCGATCGAAGGCAATATATAGTGAATAAAATTTCTTCTCACACTACTTATAAATACACAAATCTGTTATCCTAACACTTCGTTTCATATCACATGTCTCTTACACATTGAAGAGGATGCCAACTTTAAACTTTTATAACGTTGATTGGATGACCTATTTAGTAGACAGTTAACCAGAGAACCATGTATTTATTTATATTCGATAATTCTGATGTTTGATTATATTTGCTTGAAAAAGCTTGAACTAGATTGCCGGGCAAAACTTATTTGCTTCAAATTTGTTCACTGAGATTTTACAAGTACGTTATTCCTCTCTAATGGAAGAAAATGAGTTATTACCAAACATGCAATAAACTTATGCACAGCAAATCAAATCTACCTCGCACGTTTGATCAAGGAAAAAGTATTTACTTTCCTTGTTACTTCCGTCTTATCATGTTTTCCTCCCGATGTATCAACTAAATGCATGCTACTAACGGTAAGGGAAACAAAATGAAGTAATTATTTATGGCGTTCACATGGTTCACATGCTCTAGGTGCCTTAAACTATCTACTAGCAACCAATCTCAACAAAATTAATATGTTATTTAATATTATTTAATGCTCGTAAATGTTAAGTGATTATTACTAAGAAAATATAGTCTACTACATGAATGCCTATGTGTAGTCACATTATAATTTAAGGAAACTTTTAGTCTAAACTTCGAGTTTAATTCTAACCTAAAGTTGGTGAAAATTAAGCATACGATACTACCATTCCATATATTCTAATTTAAATATCCCGTTTTGATTTTAACAAACATTTTCGTCTTTTAGACTGTAGCAGTGACCTATCTTTTGGAATCTCGAGGTTTTCTTGGTCGACATTTATGTACCACAAGTTTATCACTCAGTTGGATTCAATTAGATACAGATTTGTTAACATTAAATTTGCCGACGCTATTTTCAGACTACTATTTATACAAAGATTATTGTTGGCCTCATTATATGGGCATGGAGTTGGGACGTTTGCTTAAATTAACAAGTGAAAGTGATTTAGCTCCCATGGGTTGTCGAGTAAGTCTATAATATTATTTACAAAACCATTGATAATAGATTACTCCTGGGTAAAATTAAAAAAACTTGTTGTCATCGTAGTGTTTTACCTATAATAAGCATTTATATAATATGATTGTACAAACGGACCTTCTAAGCAGTTCACAAACAAATTAATTGTGCATTGTCTGTATTTCTAGTGGTTTTTGACTTTCTCGGGGCTAGTTTTGTTATTTCATATGATATAATGTTACACTATGGCTTAATTAACTCTTTTGGATTTATTATTGTCCATAGTCGTTTCAAAGCAATCACACAATTTTTAGACTTAGTTTTTATCATCGCATTTTTTAATTCCTTGTTTGACTGGTGTAATGTGGTTTTTCAGATTCCTGAAAATAAGTAGTGCATCATTCTAATAGGATTCTTTAGTTGTTAACTACATAAACAATGATTTAGTAGTCGAATTATTTTTGGATTTATCTATCTAAATTTTGTTTCATCTCACTCTTCTACATCATAAAGTGTCTGTGAACATTATTGTAACCGAAATTTTGTTTCGATTGCTGATTTTAAAATTTTATCACTTTAACCCAAATCACTCGTACTTCAGTAATATTGAGTTCATATCTGGTAGAATATTCACTTCTGACATCTAAATGCGTAGGTAGAATTTTTCACTCTGCTAAGTTTTGGTTTAAGTTGACACGTAAATTTTATCAATATATATAAATCACAGCTTTTTGAAGATTAAAAATTGAGTTTTTATTGTAAATTTATAACGTAATGTATTTGTAAAAACCTTTTAATAAGTAACTAGACTATTAGTGATAGCCTAGGTTAAAATAAACTTTATTGTTGATCCACAGTTAAAGGTCACAGTTATGAGAGCATGATTTAAAATATGTCGCAATAGTGTACATGTACTTCCTTTCCTTAATCTAAGTAGTAAACATCTGATTACTACATATCCTCGATTCTATATCATAACTTGATTCCATTCTTGTAATCCTTTGTAGAGGCTAGTATCCTCTATATCTGACTCTAATAAATAGTATCCCGTTAGCTGAATACTTAATGCAGGCTAAATCTCCTAGTAGAATTACGAGATTATTCAAAAGCCCGAACATCAGTTATAGAGATAGTTTATTGTTACGGATTGGTAAAATCGGCAAGTGTACACGAAGCAAGCACACAGGGAAAACAAGAGCGTATGTGTGTGTGTGTGTTAAAAATCCATATATATTTTTGAATGTCATTCAAGTATGGATAAATTATTGATTGTCTGTGTATTACAACCAGTGGGAGAATAGATTAAAAATGGACATGTGCTCAATCAGATTCATATAAAATTACATGGTGGATCAAGTGTCTAAATTACGGTGAACAGATAGATAATACAGTAGTGGAGTGGGCTTACTACACCTTTACCATCGTCGAGTCACTGTTCCCTCTTGTTTTTAACTAAACATTTATCATAGCAGTTGTTCAGCAGTAAATGTAGACATGTTTTATTAACCTTAGTGCTTGTCTTTACTAACCACTAGATTCATGCTTTCGGAGAGGCGTCCCATGTTGTTACTGCTGGTATTCGTTTATACTGTATTCAGTCAGGTCTGGTCAGTTTGGATAGGAAGGTTTCAACTGTTAATGGTACCCAGTCAAATTATCGAAGTAATGTATCTGTTTCTGATGAAAGTGTCTTAACTCCTACCAACTCATTAAAAATTCTGGGCTCACAATCATCATCTACGTCATTGTCAACTAATTCTGCACGTCCACCACCTTTGGTTCTTGTATTCAGTCGTGGTTAGTTCTCATACATTCCCTTTTGTGATTCTTTTAAAAATAATACGGAAAATTAATCATTACTTACATTGCCATAGAGTCTAATCACTGTGAACCTTTTTTTCGAAATAAATTACTAAACGGTGTTTTAAAGCCAGTATTCAAACAGTATGTATAATGGGTGTTCTTTTTCTCTTTCAAGAAGACGATGATCTGATTGGCAGGAAATACCATGAGGATACGATCACGTACAACTTTAAAGGATTCTACCCATTGCTAACTTTTTTAAAATAACGACACCTAATGATAGCTAAACCAAAACAACACTGATTCATAAGGTTACTGACCACTATCCTGAACTGAGTTCTCAATTGAGATCATAGTGATGTTAAGGATCAGTAGTTTGAAAATATGATTTTTTTGTTTTTATTTTCTGAAATCGTCTGTGTTCCTTACCTACTCATTTAATCGTTATTCTCGTTCTCTGTATTTTTTTACTGTTTAAAAATCTCAGTGTCTGTGCTTTTTGATTTGTAATGGTTTTTCAGATTATGTCAGTTCATAATATAAAAACTTTGAGGTTTACGAATGCCTAATAAGCTCTCCCAGCTAAAACTAATGGTTTCATAAAATACAACTTGCTTTAGACTTAGAACGGTTGTTTTCATTCTAAACCATAGAGACAAAATTATACTTTAAAAATAAATTTCTATCAAAACGACTGAAAAAGTAACAGTAAGTAAATAAATGCAACCTAATCAGCTCATACTTTAAGGCCTTGAGCTTAGTTTTTCGGTACTATAATACTAACCATGTAATGTTGATTCAAGGTAACGGCTGGTATTCTCATCTGCAGCTTTTTTAGTGTTTTCAATAATACTGTTTCCTAATATCCATCACTTCAAGCCTTAGTATCATCCATCTGATTGGTAGTAGGTATTAGTTTCTATTCTAGTTTGAAATCTCACTTTTTTAGCGGATTAAATCGAAAAGTGAATGGGATGATGATCTGAACTATTGCGTTGGAGTTTAGAAGCTTTAGTCGATGAACTGCTGCTTTGCTACTGAAAATCTATATCAGTCATATTGTAAATCATGGGAGCTGTCTTCACGATTTGGCCCAAAATTCAGTGGATTATTGAAAATTAACTTTTGTGAATTAACGATATTATTGGTAAAACATGTTTGATTGCTACTATGGGATATAACGTTTTTGCTTTTCTCAATAATCAGTGGAAAAAAATAGGTTGTAAAAGGATCACATCATTACTATACTAAACACACTTTTAAGATTCGAATAAATTTAACCTCAGTATTCTTCAAATAATCTGACATTGAGAATATATATTGCCATTTACATAGTGTAAAATATTATTACTCTATTCTTCGGATAGTTCAATCCACAGTTCATGCACAAATCTTTCTTGTTACGACGATTATCTGATTGTAGATTTTATTTCTATTTGATCCCACAGATCTGGATTACATAACTCCCCTTTTGGTTCCAATGACATTTGAAGCTCTGATTCACGAAGTTGTTGGGATAGAATTAGGTATATTAACGTGTAGTTTTTATTTTTGTTTACTACTTATTTAAATATTTCTTCTTCACTATTAGGTTTCATCATTTGAAATATCTAATCTTTTATCATAGAACTTTTACAGTTTAACTATGATGTGCACAGCTGTACGTTGTATTCTTGTGTACATATTTATAACTGCAGCTTACAAAATATTTAGCTTGGCTTGACTATCCCATCGGAATTGTTACCCATGTTTCCAAAAAGAATGTTTCTCGAAATACTCCTAGACTACTGAATCTTAGCTTATTTCGTAGTAATTCTTTTAAGTAAACCTATCTAAATTTCCTAGTTAAATATGCTTTGTTCACTCATCAGTGGGATTCATTTGTTGTTTGAACATATTGTTGATCATAAACATTTTCAGTTTTCTATTCGTTTACGTAAGTTGGCGCCTTAAATTTCTTATTCAATACTTTGAATTCCCATATGGCTGAACGTTCCAATTTTTTAAAGGTAACCTGAAGAATAATAGGTGCTAATTATTTTATCCATTATGGTCAGAACGTGAAGTATTTTGCAGTTGTTTGCTCTCCTCCCATGTATTACTGCTATCACTTTTCAATCTTTGTTAATTCATATGGATTATTCTATATCATTGTGCATTCGTTGTTTGTGCTAGCATGAGAAATCGTAATGAAATGTTGTTGTTTCATTAGTTTAGCTGCATTTGTATTGATAAGACTAGGGCTTTGGTAACCTTCCAGACTTACTTGTTTAGTTTTTGGTTTGAAATAAACATCAAGTTATCATATTTGAATTCAAATACCTTCACTCCTCATCTTCATTTGACTCTGATATAGCCTAGCCAAACGTACCTAATAATAATCTTCGTAATAGTTCACTTTTTCCACTGTTAGAAAAATGTGATACGCAATTTTTGATAGTTATTTATTCAGATGTTTTTCTTCTAGCTTTTTTGTATATTAATTATTCAGGTTATCCTGAACTATTGCCATAGCTCAAAAAACTAATAGGATTCCTTGGTCATACTTATTGCTTCCATTGGTTTCCTTTTCTATTTAAACTTTAAATATTGATTTTATACCTGTTGATCTTCTAATCAAACTGAACTGTTAATACATCACAGTTAGTTAATGTTCTATGATGCTTTATTCTCCTGGATGCGTTATGTACTTGTATCATTAATTTTATAAAGATAACAACTGGAAGTTTACTCATATAATCCAAATAAAATAAAGAGAGTTAACTCTTGTCCCAAACTTGTTAATAAATGGAAAATTAGTGCATTATTTAATGTTCTGTGTATTAAGGCGGATTAAGTTGAAGTTGTTAATTCACACTATTTTTGCCTTATTCGATAAATCATGACCAAAATAATACTAATTTGTTTGATATCTATGGATACGTTTTAATCCACAAGAATGATACGCTGTATTATGGAATCCCACGTTCAACCTGTTCATTAAAGAGGCCTTTAATACTAAATTTTTAAGATAGTCTTAAGCAAACCTCACGGGTTTGATTTATATGCATTAAAAATAGAATTAATAAAGTTCTGTAAAGGTACTGTGATCTGTATGGCTAACTAGTAATACTGACGAATTGTTGTCTATTTAAATTTAATTAGTGTAGGAATATTCTTATTAGTGGATTTCGACTCACTGGCTCATTAGTAATATGCTAGTCACATGATTAGTTTCGCATCTCATAATCCATTGATAATAAAAGTGTTTAGTTCGAACGAAGTAAGCGTTAGTTTTCCATAGTAGACAACAAATAATTCTAAATATTCTATGCTTTTTAACTACTATTATTTCCTTCGTACCTGAGTTCTCATTTTGCTACGTTTTATATCGATTAAAACCTAATCACAGCAATGTTGTGTTTATCTTTGACCTTTTTTTTATTCGAATTTTAGGTCAAGTTGAATTACCTCCAGAATGTGCTGATGAATCGACCCCACAGAAACAAATTCTTGATAGCACAAAACTACACTACTACAAAGTAATTTTTGTACACAATTTCATTATTATTATTATTATATTAAGATTGTGTATTACATGATGTCCATTTGAAATTCGTAATCGAACATTTAATCAACTCTAATAAATGCGGATTTGTGCTAATAAGAAGACTGAGTTGATTTATTTAATGTTCATTACAGTCCCTGACACCTTTTTTATTTGCCATGATAATTGCACTATATCGTGAATTGATTGAATTTCGAAACGGATTCTCGTTGTAATCTAAAGTTGGAATGTTCACCGTTAGATCTAAAGATTATGTAATTTAGATTTCTTTCTAATCTCAGGTATACATTACTGTAGATCCATAAACCTAAAATTAAACAGCTATCTGGTTTCTCCAGTTTATGTTGATCCATGATAAAACTATTTTGTAATATTCATGTAGGCTTTTGTAAAGAATTAAAGCTTATGAAAACTAAGATACAGCTTTCAACAAGAAAAATTTACTGAAATATAGCGATATCAAAAAACTTTTAGTCTTATTCTGTGATCGTTGAATGACAGCTAACAACAATTCCAAAAAGGATAATAGAGTATAAGCAAAAAAAGAAGATACAGGATTCAATAAAAAAATCCATGCCTATTTTCTTATTAAATGATTGTGTATGGTGTTTTGTTTAGTTCGAAGGTAGTTTTCTCCACAAATTAGTGTTAATGGTAAATCATTTGAAAAGTATGAATCACTAGACAACTATTTCGTTCTAGTTCTAGGTTTTTCATTACACATACATTGCAAGACGACCAAGCTGAGGTCCTTTATGTTTTGTAGCTGGTTCAACCACATAGGGTCACTGAATAATCAATAGTTCAAGATGAAAATGACCTCTAAAATATAAAAAATTGTACCGTAAAACCACTTCATTCACTAATAATGGTGTGCTCACTGGTACCTAACGTCAGTGTATTTTTTTCAACGTCCTAGAGGGCAACAGTGACTTATAAAATTAAGAACATTACAAGTAAAAGAGTAACTCACCAGTGATTGTTTTGAATGTTTAAGTTGTGTGATTTCGTGTATTTCGTCTAATCATTCATAATCTAAGTTCCTAGATAGCAATTTTATTTCATTTTGCTTATTGTTAAAATATGTATTTCAATGATCCATTCATACCTTAATTTATCAATATTTCATGAATAATGTAACGATTATTCCTGGGCAGTTAGTTTGCTATATGCTTCCTTATATGTCGTTCCTAGTTTTTAATTTTATGAAGTGTGCTTCTGATAGAACTTCGTGCCTATACATTTATCATTCATGTTCAGACATTGTCTAGTTAAAGATCTATGAAGCTACAAATGTTTACACCTCACATTACCAATTTGAATTATGCTAACAAAAATCGACCTTATTTTCTTGTTTGGATTACTTAGTTGTATGTGACGACTGCACTTAGTGTGATAACTTCTTCTCTTATTGCTGTCTGTATTAAGGAAAAAGTTGAGTTTATGAATAATAAGATTATAATAATTACCATCTTTCTGTGCATGGTTCTTCTGACTAACCCAATTATAATAAAGTATCCGTATAAATAATGTTGTTGACATCAGTTTAGTACACTTTGGATCACTTTAGAATACTTTGTATTTACAATACACAATTAGCGAGCAACAACTTTGTACAGAAATATCATTTTTTCCTAAAAGACAGATTTTGTACCAGTAAATAACCACTATATATTATTTATCTACTGGTCCCATATAAATGAAATAAAAATCCTAGTCATTTCATACAAATAAATTTTTCATGCTTAAATCATTTCATACTAATTTATTAAGTTTCGAACGTCTTCACTGAAACTCACTATCTATTTACGTAGACTCAAATGACTGACTATAGTTATACTTATATCGCCCCAGTGATATAATTGAATCAGTATGATATATCTGTGTAGATTTTTCTGATAATGATTCTATCTGAGTTAAATGTCGTTAATATTCATCTGAAAATAACTTTTTATTCATTTCGTTTTTTGAAGGATATTAGAGATGTCCATATATCTCGTGTTCATTCATTACTTCTGGATTGGCGTGGTAAACTTCAAGATTCACGTGGTGATTTAGAAATGCAATTGGTTAGTCAAAAATCTGTTGTTCAGCATAAACAGCATTCTAGTTCAAACTCAATTCAGACTACTAGTACTATTAATAACACCTGTAATTTGCGGAATATTAGTACACGTCTAGGTCCATTTTTAGCTAAAAGACGTGAATTGTCATTTCTTTTAGCATGTTTAGAACAAGTATTATGTGCAATGACAATTAAAGAACGTGTGGAAGATCTACGTACAGCACAAAGTTTATTATTACAATCCGGTAGCGGGGGATCTCTTGCAATTGGTCAAGTTGGAATTCCCTCTCTTGATGATGACAATGATGATGGTGACTCTAATGCTCCTGATCGTAACCGAAAATTTACTCCAGTTTCAATTGGTGGTTCATGTGGTAATTTAGCAGATGCTTTAAATTCCTTACCTATGCGTTTAGCTATCGAATGGTTGACTACACAGTGAGTTGAAATCTGTAAATTGTTCAAAGTTCTTCGTCAAAAACTTAATTTTGCCAACATTTGTTATTACTTTTACAATAGTTTGTATTATTCAGTTAATTTCTTACAGTTCGGTTTTGAAAAGAAATGTTGTTTAGAAATAAACCTACATAGGTCAAAACTAATAGGATACTGAATCTATTTATTGGTGGTGCTCTCAGGGAAATCCAAATAACCTCTGACTTTATCAAACTTGTTCAATAGTTGAGAAAAGGTGTTTCACGTATGATATACACAATGTATGGAGGAATAAACGGTTTAATGGATTATTCCGAAGTTCCATGATAATAAGCTTTACTTAGTGGTTGATTTTTTGTTTGGTATAAATAATTCCGTTGTATCGATCGATGTTATTCCGTGAATCTTATGTTAGATTTACATAGCTATAAATAATAACTCAAGATACTGTGTTGATCATTTATAACTTGAACCATAGTCAAGCTAAATCTTCAACGATTTTTGTTAATTTATTGTCTGTAACTTGTTTGATAAATCATTCCTAATATGTGGATAATAAATGGTTAGATAAGCCTATATGAGTGATTTATCTTATGTGAATGACAATAACTTTAAACTTCGTTTGGAAACTTGAATTTCGCAACCCCCTTTTTTAACTCCAGTTACTCCGAAATTTATTGACATAGATCAAAGAAAATTCTCTTCAGTAAACAATGTATACGCATAAAAGAATTTAGAAATAAGGTAAACATTTAGCACACTGAATGAGGCACGGGCCAATAAAAAAATGGCATCTTTAAAGGCAATAGAATGAAAGATAACTCCTCGAGGTAATTTTGACTGTACAAAAATAGACTCAGATTTGCGAAATAAAGATAGCTAACGACTCGGTAATAGGTGGTCCATGATGGTTCAACATCCCCAGCAGTGGGGTTGGGGCAAGGTAGAGATTAAACTTATATCTATTTGAGTGCTCATGTTGAGTAGTTCCAGTCGATGCTAACAGCACATCCAGTTTATAATATTGCGATGAAAGGGATAAATTGTTTACAATAGTTTCATTCAGTTACCTTTAGATATTCAGTCAATCATAATATTTTATCTGCGTTGGTCGTTGGAATTCGTTTTTTCTGACTTGAGATAATATCTCAGTTCGAATTAAAGTTTATGAATGACTGTAGTTGGTTCGACATTAACCCCAAAAGTCCAAGTACACCATAATCTAACCATACCGAGTTTTGTACAGCCTTTATAAATCAACTACATACTAAATCATTCCAACTGTAATAAAAATTAAAGTTCAGGTTCAGTAATCGGACCCGTATCGTTCAAAAAAATATTATCGTTACCTTTCCACTACATCGTATATGTTGATTTTGAATTAGTACATATGAATCTTTTGACTTTGAGCTACGTTTTTCGTGTGTCCAAGTGTATTACTTCAACGTATTTTGTAATCTAAGCTTATTTCTACTTTCAAGACATATATATAGTTACTGTTTCACTACTACCTACCCTTTTTCGCAATTCAATTGGTTAAGTCTCGTGGATAGTGTCTCTTTTTATTGGGTGGTTTAAGTCATATTAACAGTCGGCTCATCTATTTGGAAAAATCAATTCTCAAAGTATCTAACAGTGATTAGTGATCAGTTAAGACAATGGTATTTAACATCTATGTTACTGGGCTAACTATTCAATAATGAAAATGTTAACTATCAACGATGTATGCTTATTATCAAAGTAATAGAGCATATAATGAAAGTAATCGTAGAGACTCACGTAGTGATAGTGAACAGCAGAATAGTGTGTTGTAATGCCACTGAAAATAGGTTGGAGATATAGACAAGTTTTTGTTATAACTTATGACCTGCATGCCCTGTATATTGGATAACGCAACGATACCGCCAATCAGAGAGCAGCGAGTTATCGATCGAACTAGTGACGCACAAAACATGTGCGAGCTGCCTAGAGTCCTGATTGGTCTCGCTTCCTTGTCTAGCCCAGCCAGTTGAGTCCAGAACATCAATCTCAGCCTCTGCAATATGAATCATTTATTCCAAACATGCTCTGTTTATATACTAATCAAACCGACCACAATGTATCTGTTATGACTTTAAGTTGTGGTTGCTTTTTACTCTGTGCTAATTGTTGTGTCCTTAACTGAAAAAACTAGAGAGCAGCGTATTTATCAACCGATCCAATGACACGCAAACACGTACGAACGCAATGGACGACCTAGAGTTACGATTGGTCCCGATTCCCTGTCTATCCCAGCCAGTTGAGTCCAGAACACAAATCTCAGCCTCTGAGTTATGAATCATTGTATTTCAGACATACTCTATTTATATACTAACCAAACATACCACTTCGTACCATAAAAATAAAAAACAACATTTTGTACCATATTCAACAAGTGGACAGATATCGACCAGTAGGAAATGTCCATTTAAAGTCCAAGGACACCATTGGACTTAACATGATAATTATTGATCTATCCTTCGCATCCACGACAGTACCGTAAAATAGAAAATAACATTCGTACAATATTTGGACAAAAGTGGCTATGAATGAGGGAGATAGTAATCAATAGACAGGTCATAACTCAAGAATGGTAAATCGTATAATAATAGTTCATAGGTCAAAATAAAACTCATAATGTGAGGGACATGAATATGAACAGTTTAGTTACATGACAATTATACGATAAAAATATACTCATAGTAATGGCCCATAAATCGATCCAAAGAATTACCATTCATTATTCCTTTCGGGATATAACACCTCCCCTTTTTAAAAATCTGGATTTTAAATTTTCCGGGGTTTATCCTTTCCCACAAAATAGAGTTGGATCCTCATATTCCCAAGCTACAATTAATTTAACTTTACTTAAAACATATTTGTTACATTTAACATAGAATTTACCAAAATTGATTAAATGATGAGGATCAACGACGCTTGATATGAGGTCATTAAAGCTTGATTTTTCTGAAACATTGTCATCGAATTTCTTGAAAATCTCATTAGAAGATAGTTGACCACTAGGGTAATCAGCATCTATCAACATTTCATTAGGTTCTTGACCGTCGTTTGATGCATCCGACAAATATTCCTCACTTTTGTAAGAAATTTGATCAAAAGCATATGAGTCATTAAGATAACTCATATCTGGTAAAACAACTAGAGGACCCCAGATTCGTCAGGAACTTTTGTTCTGGAATGATGAGCTCCGTTTGATGCAACTGTCTTCATCATGCTGCTTGATTCATCTTCGGTCTCTTTGTGGGCGGGTACTGCAATAATTTCATGAGCATTTAGCAAGACGTCGACTTTCTGTGAGCTGGACAAGTCAGTGTTTGCACATGGTGTTTGTGGGGCAATGGGATTTGAACCCATGACAGGGCATGTCTCTGAAATAGACATTTCTGGATCACTGGGCGGACCATGAATGACTGCTTCGATTACATTACTGCTTGCCAAGGATTCATAGAGGCTTTTATCGACACATTCATATGTTCTGCAGTCAATTTCCAGCTCGGCACGCAAATTGGAAATTAGTTTATCAACTTCTGTCACATTGTTTATGGCAGTACTGTCGTTAATACTAAAAGATTCCACAAGTATTCTTACCAAAACACTATCTCGAATGAAGATTGAGAACTTTCTAATCAGCTCAAAAATTTCTGTGGCCAGAAATTTAAATGCTACTGGCATTTCCTTCATGGAGGCATCTAGTGCCGTCATCTCGTAAAGAGACATCCTTCTTTTTGTACTTGTACGTGCCAACAATACCTACGACATTGGAAGCAAATCACCAAGTGTACAATATAACCTCGATTAATATATTTTTCTCTTTATCAATTTTTCGTATCATAATAATTTACTTAATTGTCTTAAATCACTTCTGAAGTTTTCACTCTTAGGCTTAGACGCAATTCGCATTATTCTTTATAGTCATCCATTGCGAATGAACTTTTTTGTTTATTTCCTAATGTCATCTACTCCTAGACTTAGTTGATCTGCCTTATAAGATTGTTTCTAATTATCTAATGTTCACAGTATCAATATATATATCCGTTTGCTTCAGGCCTACTGATTTTTATGTGACCTTTTTTAGCCATGGTGATCATCTAATTGATGGGCTCCGTCTGGTTGCATTGAACTGTGTTTTACATGATGGCTTAGGTGATGAATTGTACGACGTAATGAGTCGTGCCATAATACATGCTGCTGGTCAAATCACCTTCCCTATGCTTGAAGCGTTATCCTCACTTGGATTATTATATCCCCGTTCTAAACTCCCAGAAATATCATCTGCAAAAAAATCTATTACAAACAATCATCCAACTGACCCACAATCAAGCATGTTTGTGGCGCAAACGAATAACTCGACAAAAAAGTCCAGTCATGCACTAACTCATACTGTTGCCAAGCTGAAATTAACACAACGACAAAAATCTCGTTACAAGTAAGATTTTTTAAATTTCAATGCTCTAAATGGGTTGGATTGGTTCAATATTTGCCGTATCTGATGAATAAGTAGTAATATGATATTGTTATTCATCTGTCCTCACTCAGAAGACAAATGGTGAGTCATGACAACTTTAGAGGAATCAGTCACTATTCAGACATTCCCCTCACGCTCTTCAACTTCTGTTAATTAGCAATGTATCGTCTCCATCACCCAATTTCCTCAGTGAGTACCTCTGGCTTAGTTGAAACAAAAGGTTATCTCATTAATCATCTGCGTGTAGGGAAGGGAACAAACGCTTTTCGTATTCAGTTGTTCATTATTTTCTATTGAGCTTAGAACCGTAAATGGTGCCTAATTGACTTTCATCCTAGTAAATCTAATAATAAGCTGACGAAACTAAGGATTTTTTATGTTATCCTATCTCAAGGTGACAGTATAAGCTAAATAACAACATCAAATTTAAGTATAGAACAGTACTGATATTCTAGTCTGAAGTTTGTCCAAATTGTTCAGCTTTAAAATACTTCAAACCATAGACCGATTTCGGTTAAGTAGCAATCTTCACTGACCTTCCTTTCTAATAACAGTCAGTCATAGTACATATGTATTTATTTTTTATTGCACTTACCATAGTTTACATACTATTTACATTTTCTGCTTTCTCATGTTCTCATTTTAACTTATTCAAGTTTTGATTTTTTTTCTGTCTGTTGAAAACAGATCAGGTTATCCGGTTTTTACTTATTACGTCCTAGTTCTTTCTCTGAAGAACAGTGTTGATGATATTTTTCTAGTTCACTTCTGCAGTACTATTTGTTGTCACCACTTGGTTGTTATCACTTTTAATTTACAATTTTTGTTGTGTTCCAGGGTGATTGATTGTTACTGTAAAAATAGAGTTGTTTCTTTTCAATTTTCGACTTCTGTACGGAATATATCTGGTAAATCTTGTCTTCTCTATCTCTATTAGCGTACGGATTACTAACTTTGAGGTGTTGTTATTTGACAGACCACCGGTCTGTACCTATATTTTTCATCATATCAGAAAGATCTTCAATCGTTCGTAAACAATAACATTTACCGTAGGTCAATTGGAAACACCAATACTGTAATCGTTTTTATAAAGACTAAATACTCAGTCTTTTTGTGTTGTTTAGATGTACACAACCTTTACAACAAAATCTTAATAAACTTGTAAGATGACTTTGCTGTAGCTAATTATTATGGTGTCCCACTTCTGTGGAAACATGCAAGCCTTCACATGAAAACGATCAACTGAAGATTGTGATTAGCTTACAACAGAATAAACCATTGTTTTCTCTTGCTATCCTATCACTAGAACACTAGATAATATGGGACTAGACCAACAATTAAACTAACCAGTTCAGAGAACTCAGCAACTCCATCGGTCTCCGTATTTTACGAGATGCGTGACTCAGAAATTCAATATCCAACCAACTATTGAGAACCACAATAAAGTAGACAATAGTTTATTAACACAATTTACCAGTAGTCAACATAGTGAAACCCGTGTAGAAATTAACCGTTTAATGTATAACAATGATCTATGTGTTTATTACAGCCGGATATATGTCTTCACTCAGTAACCAATCACAACTTAGTCTCACTTGATACATAAGATTTTTTTTCTTCTGAATTTACAGCTGTTTATGCAACTAAATTACGTAACTAATTTTAGTTATACGATGAAAATTTTGCAAATCTTCCTATCTAATTAGTAAACCAAGGTATTATTTCCCGTTTTAATAAATTAGTCTACGGTACATTGATAATTTAATCAAATAAATATTTTTTGATACTTTTTTTCCTCTCAGTTATCTACATCATTTGTTACAGTTGAGCAATTGGAATCAGGCCAATCGACATGTTGATCGTACGGTTATTTCACCTACATATGTTTATTCTGGTCAACATTGTCCTTTAGTTGTTCGGCTTTTAGAGTCTGTTTGGTCAGCTGGTCTTCTAGATTCTAAATTTCAATCTGTTAAATCAAACTCTTCTGCTGCTGAGCAAAATCATTCAGACTTTGAACTAATTGCCCAGCCACAATTAATCGAAGCACTTAAACGAATGGGTCTTCCATCTGAAGGTATGTTTCTCCTTATATTGTCAATTACAAGGAGGAAGTTCCTTGATATTTTGTAAGCCTTATATTCTTAAGTAATTAGATTAGAAATCAACATTTTAAAACTGTCAAGTAATAACTAAAATAAAAACAAACTTTCTACATAAACCTTTGGCTTGTACTGTTATGGTAGTTTGAATAATTTAATTGAAACACTTTATTTTGCGATTAGGGCAATCAAATTAAATTTCACAATTATTTTTCATTGTTATTGTCGGTTTGGGCGCCCGAGTAGTATAACAGGTCTCACAAAAATCTATGATAACTGTGTGACCCATATATATTTGGTGCCCTCTTGTACCAATGTTTATGTAATATGTATGTTGAGAGTTTTATTTTTACTAAAGAATAAATATCCATAGTCATAGGTTAGACGATGTCATTTCACATTTCTGCTAATCAGTAGCGCGAGATTTATGGAGTGACAATTGCATTAGTCAGTAATTCATGTATCATCATCAGTACAAATCCATTCTTACTATATCATTTTATTGAATCAAATCAAATTGAATTTCTATGGGACATTTTTTGCCTTGCGTTTATAAACACTTCTATTGCGTATTAATATCAACTAGAAAACTCCGTATAGAGATATTCAATATCATGTATATCACACTAAAATTCATTCGTCAGTTCAATCAGTTAACTTCTATTGGTTTTATATTTAATCATTTATGGCTAACGATAGCTTGACATAAATATAAAAAGTTAGTATTATTATTTTGTGCTAACCATTGCTTTTTACTCTCCCCCTCTCCACACAGAAAAACTAATTTGTATCCCATTGTCTTTAGTAGTATGGGACTCCTCAGTAGTACGCATCCGCGATCCTGCACGCAGGACTCGGGCCCAGGGCCTTCGGTTTCTTGGACGAACATTTCACCTCTAGACCACTGAGCTGACATCGAATGGTGTTAATGCCTGACTTCAATCGATCCATGATCTTGCACAACCTTTCAACCTTGTTTGAGATGGATAACTGTCTTACACCCGATACAGATTGGACTTCACTGGTCACCGTTTCTCTCTAGAATTCCAGGAAATCCATCTTGAAGCTAGTCTCTTGTGAGAAGAAGATTATTATTTGTAGTACGCGGATTTACGGAAATTGTAGTATTTTCACGGTTTAATTCACTAGTCGATAATGGGTTGTGCAAGATCATGGATCGATTGAAGTTAGATATTAACACCGTTAGATGCGATCTCAGTGGTCTAGAGGTGAAGTGTATGCCCACGAAACCGAAGGTCCTGGGTTCAAATCCTGTGTACAGAATTGCGGTTGCTCACTAGGACAATACGGTCGTCCAATGCGTCCATGTTTCCAGTGTTGATCTAGCTTGACTCATAACTTCATTTGTGAAAAACAAAGAATATTTTAATCATTTTACATCTGTCTACTTATTTTATAAAAAGTTATAATTTTTATGTATTTGAAATGAAATAAAAACAATCTTTAACTTTATCAAATCTCTAGTGATTCTTTAATTGATTTGGTCCTATAAGTGAGTAGATTGTGAAGTTACTTATAACTTGTTAAAATGGTATACAAGTAGGTTTCTTTTAATTTTCAATAGTATCTCATTACAAAGTGCTTTCATTAAATATGAAAACCATACATTCAATACATTATTTGCACATCCTCCTTCAGTTGTCCTTTACATTCTTCATGATTCTTTCAATTCTGTTGTTATTACAATTGCTCTCGGTTTACATTCCTGTTCTCTTCAATTCAGTCTTCCGCTGCCAGGCATTCCAGTTCAGATTACTGCTACATAGTACTTATATCTGTCAGCATAAGTTGCATACATCATATATACATATATATAACTTTTCCCGAAATTTTCACATCATTCGTCTTATGATTTTCTCTATTTTATTTCATAACAAAAGGTTCAACTAGAAATCAGACACCTATTAATCTTTTTAATTCAAAGACTATTTCACAGAGAATAATTCTACTGTATTGACGTTTTTACTTCACTTACGTAATTTGAGAATCGACTGAGATATCTGTGAAACCACTATTAACGTAAACTTTTCCTTCTCATAGTTATTTTAGTTTATTTGGTTTATTATTATCATTGCAAAAATACTCAAGCGAATACGATTTCTTAAACTGAATTAGTTCACTCATTAATTACCTTCTACAGTACGTGATTTTCTAATCCCATGATACATGTATCTTGCACACTAATCATAATAATGGATTTATAATCCTGTCATTGTATATATCAACTATTGAAATATTATTATTTTGTAGAGACCGCAAGTAAATAAATTTTTTAAAATCAAGTTAAAGTATTTTCTCTTTTTATCCCATAAGTTGCTTCAAATCTGGGTCTCGTTAATCTCTATGATCCAACATTAACAGCTGCAGGATATCAGCATGATATATTTTTTAAGAAGAACCGTCCAAATGCCCCAGCTCCACATCCTTTACCTCTCGTAAGCACTGATCAACCTATTGTCGTAGCATTTCCTGGCGGTTGTACATATGGTGAAGTTGCAGCTCTTAGATTTGTTGCTAAACGGAGAAGATGGAATCTACTTATTGCTACATCGTGTATTCTTACATCACGAGACTTATTACAGCAAGCTGGAAAAGCAGCAATGAATGTGAACTCTCTATAGATTTTAAAATTTCCTGACAGGCATTCTTTTAATTGTCTCTTCAAATTTTTGATGTCCGAATCTCTACTCTCAGGTTCTTTATATTTGCCTAAACTTAAACGTTTTCAGTTTTATTGTTATTTGTTCTACTTAAATAAGGAATCTTTTTTTGTTCTATAGGTTTCTTGTATAAAAACTAATTTTGTTTGTTGTTAAATATGCGATTTTGTATAAAACTAACGTTTTTCTACAATAAAAGCTCACTCCTTCCTATTATCAGTGTTAATCAATGAATGCATTTTTATCATTGTTTTTTCTTACAATATTTCCCATACTGTTTTTGTTTGGTTTTCATAAATTATTTTTACTTTTTAGTAATTTTCATTCTTTCTCTCAATAAATTATATTTTTCTGTAATACAGTTTTGTTAAATACTCTATTCATTTCATTCAGACAACACCTTTTTTTTCATGAATTTATCAGGTTTAGATTCTATAGAGTATGTGTTAGTAATTGTACATTTAGATGTTGACAACATACTGTTTTTCCTTCAATGGAGTTCCACTAACCCGTCAGATTGTGTAATGATTTAGGTGGAGTTTAAAAACGCCTGATATTTCTCGATTTTAACTTTTAGTTTTACCTTATTAGATATAAATTCATTACAACTGATGTTAAATTGTCATGATAAAAATGTTTGTTGGTCGAAGTCACCAAATCATTACAAGAAAATTAAAACAGATTACTTGTACTGTCAACTAATTCAAAGGTTTCTTACTAAAAGTATATAAGGACTTGATTTCAAAGTCATTTGATATTCTGAAACCCATTCATACTGATGAATAGTGGAGACGTTTCATACAGCAAATCTTCCCATAACTTATTATGAAATTCACTCAAGATCGACTGAATTTGAACTGTTAATTGTGCATCACGCGTCCCACAATATGTAATAATATGTTGCAGTTGATAACGCATATTTACAGTAGTAACACCAGCTTCATCATTAAACACAGACTTAAAGATAGCAACTACATTGATCAGTCAAACTAACTGATTTTCAGTCGACGAAATAGTTGTGCGTTAAGTTAACAGATACTTATAAGTTACCTACATCTGTTACCCCTCGTGAACGTGTATAGGCTGCCTACCAGCATTTTCCATCGAATTCTGTCCCAGGCAATCCATTCAATAAACACAAAAATATTATACCGTACTAGAAAAGAATAAAGTAAATTGATATCTACTTCTAAAATGTGCGACGAAGTACACTAACTTTGTCAAAAAGTCATACCAGTTACAAAGATCAAGTATGACATTAGGAACTTCATACATTTTCCCGGTTGAATCATATCACTTCAAAAATCTTGCTTTGTTAATATCTCCAACTTATATTTCATCCAAGTTTGTTCCTCATAGGGTTCTTTGATATGAACTCCTTTTTGTCATGCAACTCATTAACCAAGTACAAGTTTACGTAAAAGATTAAGTTTATTGATGAGGATGATCCACCTACTTTGTTCGGCGCACAAAGTGAAGTATATTTGACAACATTAAACATCCTGTTTTCGACTGAAGACAATTCATCAATCTTATTATATATCTTCGAATAGTAAAATATGATATTGCACGAAGCTAAATATCATATAATACCAAATGGATGTTCTATTTACGACTAAGCTCTTATATGAAAAGCCTTATGAACTAACAGTTTGAATTGATATACTCATTTAACTAATATGAAGTTAGTGAGAAATATTTTTCTGAAATCAAAGTTTCAATAATGTCTTAGTCGAATTTAGTTACAGTTCCATGAATTACTCTTTGAGATTCGGGCTTTAAATTCAGTGATAAATACATCTTTACCTTCAAATATAAAAGTTTTATCAATTAAATGAGTAAGAATACATAATTACAGTTAAGATACCACAACCGAAAGAATTACAAGTATACTGAAAAATTTCTTTGATTGGGAATATTCTATTCAATGTTGACAGTTTACATGAATTTATTAAATACAAACTGAAATCTTAATGGAAGTAATTACTTACTTAAATTTGTTGACAGTGATGATAGACACTAATATGTAAATACACTAAATTAAAGAGTTATTTCTGAAAGGCTGCAAAGATCCTGAGACTAATCAAATGCATGCAATAATTTATAATCATGTTTGTCTGATTTCGTAAACGATTTATTGATTTTTGCGTGTTACGCATCGTGGAGGAGAATAGACTTCTCATCACTATTCTCCATCTAACTCTGTCCTGGACAATTGTCTCTAGTTGCTATTCATATCTGCTACCAATTATCGACGCAGTATGTTCTTTAGTGGCCCGAGATCTGACTCCACTCAGATTGTATTATATGAATGTTTGCTATCGCCTATTCTCGTATTTCATTGTCGACTTAGATCGCGTTATCCAATAACGGAATTAAATAAGTCAAATAACGAGAATGGGATGTTGAATACATATATTTCGTATGTAAAGCGAATGTAATAGAACAGAGCAAAATGACGCACAGGGAGGATGGCTGGGAAGCCAACTCCATTTTAGTCAAGAGTTACTCCATATTTATAGGTTGACAAAATAAAGCTACAGACATGTGATTAATGCGATAAGAAGGGCACACATATATACGCTCATATAAAAACAGTCAGGACTGATAAGCGAATAATTAACAAGGTCAAAATATGACTCAAGTAAAATGAATTAAATAGGATGTCCACAAGATAGAATAAGGTAGATGGGCTTGCCATAATAACTGACACTACATAGCCCCCTTGTAGAAAATAGCACATTTAAAAAATGTCTGTTTTCGAAAATAACACTGAAGTGTATGAAGTTAACGTTAGCAACAAGTAGCGAAAAAAATTGTACAACACTCGATAAAGTACAGTAGTGTCACATGAGCGGTGAGTGTATTATATGAAAATGTCATATTTATGTAAAAGAATACATGAATATAGAAAAGGCGTGGACAAAAATGGGAACGTTAACATGCGAATATGAGCAATTTAATGAGCGTACAAAAATTAACATCTAATAATGCTGTGACTGTCTGAACGATAAAATAACAAGTTCGTATGAGCGATTCAAAATACCGTGAAAACAGTAATAAATTGTTTGTGGGTACGACTGCGAAACAAATCGTGAAAGTAAGTAAAGTAGAATATGATAGTAATTAGTCTGTGATGCTGACAGAATAGCGAAATATGTTAAATATATGTTCTGTTGAGCCGAAGTAGAATAGGTAGCATCGATTAGCGATGAGTGAATTCGAATTTAAATGCGTAGTTCCCGTTCGTAGGATGATAATAGGCAAGTCGTGAAATGATATCTGCATCGACGGGTGATATTCGTTGCTGTACTGCAATTGATAATAATCATAAAATGTGAAGTCAGTGAACGTTGTCGTCTGCGTTATGACAGATGCATTGAGTTATCGTTAAATATGTATTAGTAGAATGACCAGAGGAACAGAATAGTGACTGAGTAGACGAAGTACGTAGAGTCGTATTCCTTTTTGGTCATGTCACCTAGAGTGGTTTGTGTGGTTTGAGGGAGATGCGCTCGACCTCGTTTGTTACAAAACCGTACCAAGGCATGACAAGAATACCAATACATATGATTAGCGATGGCGACGTATGAGACTGACTTGGATGTAAGGAACAAGAGTGTATCTTTGAGAGACTAGCTCTAAACTCTATGTTCTGATATACAGTGCGATGGGTATAGAATAGTAGTTGCAGTACTCGAATAATGTTTTTGGGTAATTAATGATGCGGCATGTGGTTATACATGTGGAAGAATAGATAAGGTGAACATAATAGTTACTAATCAGCTAGTTAGATGCATCCACAGACATAATAGGAGGCGATTTCGAAATGAGAAATGTTGTGATAACATAACATAATGACCTCGACTAAGTGAATGAATGCAATATTTGATCAAATGACATGAAAAAATGGAAACGAACTCACTTAAAGCAGGAAAATTTCATGTTTTGAATAGTAAAAATATTCCAGTGAATTTTGAATGTCATAAAGTGGAGTGTTCATAAAATGATAATCTATTCGGTGAGCAATATGATTGCGAAAATGTCATAATTTAATGGCAGCATGAACATGATTATTAATTCCACATTCGGTCATGATATTGAGAATAATGTAATAATAAGCATATAATGATAATTCGAATAGTAATGGGGAAAACCGACGAATGGATCAATGAGAATAGTTGACATGAGGACAAAGTATCGATAAGATAATACGACTTGAGCATGTCCATGTCATGTTGCACAGGCTTTGCTGAGTGCGTCGGATTAGAGATTGAACTGGACCAGTTGAGTGTGTTCGTCGAATGTATCAAGTGAAGAAGTCTCTTCATCGACGTATCTTGATGCATTAGGTACGTCGTCTGCGTGCTTACCATTTTGGTCGTCGAAAATATGGAGTGCCGACGTTCATTCATCGACGTAGCTTGCTGCGTTGCGTTCGTCGTCGGCGGGCTCATCATTTTTGAGAGGCCTCGTGGTTTTGTCGTCATTTAAATCAGGCGATGTTCGTCGAAAGGCGCATCATTTTAGTTCGTCGGAAATATGAAGTGCCGACGTTCATTCATCGACGTAGCTCGCTGCGTTGCGTTCGTCGTCGGCGGGCTCATCATTTTAGTGGCCCATTGATCTGACTCCAATTAGATTGTATGAGTGTTTGCTATCGCCTATTCTCGTATATCATTGTCGACTTAGATCGCGTTATCCAATAACGGAATTAAATAAGTCAAATAACGAGAATGGGATGTTGAATACATATATTTCGTATGTAAAGCGAATGTAATAGAACAGAGCAAAATGACGCACAGGGAGGATGGCTGGGAAGCTAACTCCATTTTAGTCAAGTGTTACTCCATATTTATAGGTTGACAAAATAAAGCTACAGACATGTGATTAATGCGATAAGAAGGGCACACATATATACGCTCATATAAAAACAGTCAGGACTGATAAGCGAATAATTAACAAGGTCAAAATATGACTCAAGTAAAATGAATTAAATAGGATGTCCACAAGATAGAATAAGGTAGATGGGCTTGCCATAATAACTGACACTACAGTTCTTCGTCCTTCCTTTTTTTCGGTTTCCCTTTACGATTTCAAGTTAAAGCACGTCTTGCTATGCAGTTTGATTATTTCCATAATGTATGTCCTATCCATTTCTAGCGCCTCTCTTTAATTTCCTTTTTAGCTGGAACCCGGTTTATCGTCTCTCCTAGTAGGCTTTTGCTGATGGTATCCGGCCAACGGACATTGAGTATATTACGTAGACAATTGTTTATAGTTCTCCACGTTTCAGCTCCGTACAGTAAAACTGTCCTGATGTTCGTATTGAAAATTGTGACTTCGGTATTTAGTAAGAAAGATTAGTTCAGCTAAGAGTTCTCTTTTCAACTAA